AAACAATGTCTTTCAAAGGCTATCAGATCTTATTGTGAGCTTCGAGTATTACCTTATGAAGGAAAGAAGACAGTTGTATTTTAATGGGTTACAAAGCGCCAAAATGAGACGCCAAGCTACATGTGTCGGAAAGAGATTGCCATAGTTCTTTTTTCCCATCCTTCTTGTATTTTATAGCGTAATCATTTGTTTGAATATAACAATATGCCACCAAAACGAGGTGTGCATTTACATGTGAACTCACTAATTTAATCAAATGGAATATTCATGTTATAATTCCCTTAGTGTGTTTGGATTAGTGGGGGGAGAAGTAATTTTTTTTTAATCTAACTTCTATAAAAGTGAGATTGGATAAAAGTCAGATAGTATAATGTGATTTATGTTTGAATTAGATTTTGTAAAAAAGTCAGTTTGAGAAACTAAAATTTGTTTCGATAACTAACGAAAAAGTTAAGTTATATGTAAAATGAACAAAAAAGATATGAATTTTATTAAGTAATATTACTTCCAGTCCTTATATAAAAGTTAGTTTGATATAAATTTGATTCTAAATATAAAACAACAACTATTTATTATAAATAACTAATTTAACTAACTTTTTAGTCTTTCCAAATTAATTAACTAGCTTTTATATTAAAAACTGGAAGTAGTATATATTTAATATTAAATGTATATAATGCGACGACAATTGTAAAAAAATTGAAAATAAAATCATTTAAAATAAAGAAATTAATTTATTATTAGAAAGAAATTGAAAAATGCTATCTTTCCACCGCACGTTACATCCCACTATTTAAAGCAAAGAAATTAATTTATTATTAGAAAGAAATTGAAAAATGCTACCTTTCCACCGCACCGTTACATCCTACTGGTAAAAACAGGATTGATTAGCTTCTTTCATAAATCCATTTGAGATCCAAAAGTCAATTTGTATAAACATTAAACAAAACACCACTTTTTATGAAAAAGTACCGTTTGCCATTTGAATCATACATTTTGGGGTCAAAATGTGAATACAAACACACCCCTTAGACCGTGTTGGGGATGGCTGATGAGAGCCTTTGTCGTTTGTCTTGGGGTTCCCAATCAAAAATAATCCAAGTAATGCAATATAGTACAAAATTCGGGTTATTTCACTTTGAGGAGCCTTTATTTGAAATCCTAAGCAACTAAGTATCAAAATAAAGAATTGACGTGGAAAGGGATTGATTTTCTTTTTAATTAACTAATTGGCAAAATTTAAAAGGATGCAAAATGAGTAAATAATTTTTGGATTTTAGTTTATAAAATGGATATGAATTAAATGAATAAAAAAAATTAACAAGTGATAGCAAATGGAAGAGCAATCCTCTAGCACAATGATTAAGGCTATCATTACTTCAATTAATTTGGGAGTTAGCTAAATTCAAAAGACTCTAAGGGCCACCCCCTAGACTCGGTTTAATTAGAATAATCAACACCAAGTCACCTTGCATATTAATTATTCACAATTAAACTGTTTCAGTACAATTAGCCAAAAAAAATCAAAGAAAAGCAATTAACATTTTTAGTCCAATAACCAACCATCTTGAATTACCACTAAATGTTCACAATAATTTCAAAACATAGTCTGACCCAGTACAATGTAAAGAAATTAAAGCTAATAGCATAATGTTAAATGCTAATCAAAGATTCCAACAACTACAACCAATCTCAATACAAATATAATCATCACAGCCCATTCAAACATTATAAAATTCATTCTAAGATATAGAAATCACAATTATAATGAAAGAAGTAAAGATTAGAATAGTTGAAACTCCCATTTGAAGCTCCAAGTTCAAGCCATAAACACTGTTCTAGAGAATTGGAGGATTTAGCTACTCTTAACCATCACAACCACAGCTCCAACAAACCAATTCGGTTCAGCCATGAAGAAAAAAGAAGATGAATGCTGGGATGTGATTTCGCTGTGGAAGCTCACGCTGAATCCTCTCCTTCACGCCGCTGGTTCACTGCCTCTATTCGTACCTCTCGCGTGTCCCGCCTCACAGCTCGTTCAACGTCGCCTCTGTTTCGTGTGCTGCCCACCTCGCGTGTGTCTGTCTCCTCTCTCCTCCTGTGCGCTGCTCGCGTTGATCATATGAATAATAGGTTTAGTGGGGAGGGGGCAAAACGCAACGTTTTGCTCCCCACTTTTATATATTTTTTTTTTTTTAATTTATTTTTTTCTTTTCTCTTTTTTTTTTTTTTTTTTATTTTTTATTTTGAAAATCTTCCAAAAACCTGTAACAAAAATTCAAAGATAAGGTAACATTAATTGTTCTCAAAAATCAATTAGTCACAATTAAACCAAAATATGATAATTTGCCCCTATAAAATATAATTCAAAATAAAACATATCAAAACCAATTAATAATCAATTAAGGCCAAAAGGAACCAATTAAGTTGACAAAAACTCATATAAAAAATATCAAAATATGTAAAAATAATTGAGTTTGTCAATGGTATTTTGAGATCCCAAACTGACTTCTCATCGATAAAAGCAACTTCTGGCCAAAATTTTTGTTTGGGATTCTAATAGAAAAAAAGGAGCTTCATGAAAAGAAGTAACTTTTACCTTTGCCTCAAAAGAAGTGTCATTTGCATAGAAAATAATCATGCTATCCACATTTTTTGTTGTTATTTTTATTTGTTAATGTACAAATAATAATTAAAATAAGAAATATTTTACAACTTTTTCAATAATACAACAAGTCCTTCTGTTTTTATAATTTTGATATTTAATATTTTCTTAAAATTATCACATTATACATATGTAATGTATATAATAAAATTTATATTCTTTTCATTATTTTATATTTAAACTTATTTTTTTATTAATCATTCAAACAAGTTTCACCTTCTTAAATTAATTTTTTTACAAAAGTCAATCTAAACATGAATCCTATCGCACTACTTGATTTTTATTCATTTGACTTTATAAAAATCAGATTAAAAAAAAGTAACTTCTCTCACTGCTAATCCAACCATACTCTTAGTTAGTTGCAAGAATAAGCTAAAGGAAGAAAGAAAATCCAGTGACCATGACTGATATGGTCCCGAAAACATCGGGGTTACATTTGATGATTTGTTTTAAAGTTGCTTTGCTTCATGATTTTGCGAATGGAAAAGGGTTGGTGACAGAATAGAACTACAACGGCTTTTCTTTTTTAGATTTTTCATTTTGAGACTCGTGATTGCATGCATACTAAATGGAAGACAGCTTATAGCCTAGACAAATTGTCAAAAGGCTCAAAGGTAGCTCGAACAAATATCATTGGAAGAATTGTTATAAAGTTTAAAAAAAGCCTATAATTATTAAAAAGTTTAATATCAGTAGTTTGTAATAATAAGTTTTAGAAAATAACTTCTCATATGTTATTATGGTTTTTTTATAGTTATTTTTTTTTTCTTTCAGACCTCATTTTAATTCTCGCACATCATTCTAGTTTTTAAGAACGGAACGGCTACTCTACTCAAAAAAAAAAAGAGCAGTCACAATTATATATTTACAGCAATTAAAAAATTATATTTATCATACGATTATTACAAATTTATATTGTGTGAATAAAAATTTTATATAAATTTTATTATGTAGTTAGTTCACATTGAGATTGTGTGCTTAAAGAAAATATAAATTTTTATTATATATATTTAAAAAAAAGAAGAAGCCCGATATAGGCAACCGTTTAAATTTTAAAGTCAATTTTTCAGCAAAATTATAACGTTGTATTTAATTATTTTTAATTAACCATAAAAATTAATTTAAATAAAAATAAAATTATTTGAATCAAATTTAAGTCATGCAAATGTCTCAATGCATGCATACGGTACCGTCTAAATTTCTGTCTGGAGTGCTGTCCAAACAAGAGAATAAAATAATGTCCATATATAAAAATTTCAAATAACAATTTAAATTCATAAGAAAATTATTGATTAAAAATAAAAACCAAGTCTAGAATATATATTTTGTTCTCACGAACTATGAATTTATAAAATCACAATGAAAGTCCACAAGTTTTACAGAAAAAAATATGAAAATATTTATAATAATTTCATAAATTCATGATCCCTCCCAATAAAATATTTTTAAATTGGGGTTTTGGCCATAATTATTTTCAAACAAAAATGCTCACGGTAGGTCAATAAGCGCAAACCGCCGGCTATACTCCAATCACCCAATGGTCCCGTACTTTCCCTCAATTCGATCCCTGACTTTGCCCCTCATTCCGAGTCGAGATTTGAGAATTGAGAGCATAGTACCGTACTTTCCCCTCAATTCGATCCCTGACTTTGCACGATATGCCTGTAATAATTTCCTCCCTCTTGCCTTTTCTGTAATTGATTTCCCCCCGATCTGCATCAGTATTTCTTAGGTTTTCATGATCACCTCATTTTCTTCGAAAATTTGCTCATTTTGGTATTGAGTTTCTTCTTGTGGTCGTGTTCTCCCGCGATGCAGGGTAAGATTTCCTAGAGGTGGAACCTCCAAGCCCACTCAGATACTTAATGGGAGCCGCCGTTATGATGATCGGAGTCGTATTACCCGTCGGTTACATGATGTTCCGGAACAAGCGCGTTCCCTCATCTTCTTCCTATTCCAAACAGACGTAGGTGTGCCTTTGTTTTCCTCCGTATTTTCCCTTTTCTTTCTAACCAATGTTAGTTAATTAGATCAGCATTATCGGCATGTGTTTTTCGTTTCTTTTTTCAATTTTCTAATATCTTTGTTGGCCATAGAAACTACTGTAGTATTTGAATGTCTGATGGGCGGATATTTGGAAAGAAATTAATAGATCCAGAATAGCGAACTCGGAATGTCTGATTGAAGAGTGCTATTGGTTGAGACTAATTTGACGGCGTGTGTTGTTCTTTCAGGGACAAGGTTCTGATATAGAGACGTAACCGAATGCGAGAGCTGCGATTTACTGGATCTGGATTTGTCAGGTTATGTTTGAAGTTGATTTATAGGAGACTTAACCAGATTCAAAATTAGGTCAATTGTAAATGCAATGAGATCCTGTTTCTTGTTAGTGGGTTCGTCTCCAAATTCTGAACTCCGATACCAAGAAATTATATGATTGGGACTTGCATTCCATTTTTTCTCTCGGATCTGAAATCTCTTGTAGCTCCCTAATTTCTATTATGGGTTGGGGAATATTACACCGTAAAATGTCGTTGTTCTTTTATATTTTATCTGAAAGGAAGCAGAAAGATCTTAATCTTGCTAGTTACTTAGCATTCAGTTTCACTATCATTGATCACTTGTCTTTCTGGGTATTCTACTCTTACAACACAAATAGGAATTCATGAAATTCGTAAATGGAAAGACTTCTGATACTGGAACTCATGCTTTATCGAGTATCTTATTCTATTTTTAAATTGGTTTATTCTGCAACAACAAATGCTAGTCACAATATGAGTTTCAACGGAACAAGTTTAGTCATTAATCAAAATTTATAATTACCTAAGTGTCTAGGAAATGTAGTGTTGGTGTTGGATGCCGTGTTTTTCATATTGATAGATGTGAAATGGGGTTTCAAAATTTTTGTACCTAGTGATTGGATGTCGATTGATTTTTACATGTGAACTCCTGCTGTTGAAGTATTTATTAGTTTCATGTATAGAACGGACAGAAATCTGGATTCTATAATGTACATGGATGTCTGTTTTTTGCCCCTCCCATTAAAAGACATAAATCTATAAAGTATGGATATCCACAAAAAGTGGTATTGTATACGAAGTTCCAAAACCAGTAGAAATACTCAAATCCATGGTTACAGGCAATACTGTTCGTACGCACAGACCAAACATTGGACACAAAATGGTCAAGAAGTAGTCAGCACTACTGTGAAATACTTCTACCCTGCTAGCAGATTTTGTCATTCCAGAGAATTTGAAGACTAAACAAACATTTGAGGGCATCTACTCATACTTGCTGATGAAGAATGATATGAGAATATTGGGCATACCGAGTAACTGTGAAAATGTGTATTTATCTATAAAATGTTAATTTATTATGATATGGAAAATATGTTATGATGTTTTAAATTTAAATTAGTATTCATCTTACTATGTCTAGGCTTATTCATAAGAAACAAGCCATAATTAAATTTTAATCGTGACTTTTTTTCTTGTAAATAGACCCGAGCAGTAGTTTAAGAGTTAATACAAGGCTTGGTTCTTATAGTTTGTTTCCATCTTGGTTTTGATCCTTATAATTTGAAATCATAGATTTTTGTAATGTCAACATTTTTATTAAAATGTAAGGTCTAAAGTTTTTTTTTTTGGGTGAACAAATAAGGTCTAAAGTTTTAGAAGAAAAAAAATTTGAGGGACTAGAGCTTGTGAATAATTTGAAGCTATAGGGAGCAAAACCAAATGAAAGCAAATTATAAGGTTCATGCATTATAGTAACTCTTAATTTATTAGTTATATTTTAGCCCTGAGTTGTCTATATTAAAAACAAAACTCCTAAATGAAGCCCATGTTTGTAGAATTGGGGCGAGCCCACTCCTTAAAGACACTAAAAAGTACCAGCATTAAACTCACAAAACCAGGAAACGAAAAGCACACTCCTAAATTGCTCGAGTCCCTTTAACAGATAACACGCACAATTTTTAAGCAGTAATTTTACGAGGAAAAAAAAATGTCCTTTTGAGTAACAAAATGATTTCAAAATAGAGTGAGACGTTCCAGAAAACATTTAAAAAACATTTTAGAAGAAAACATCGAAAAAGATAGTGGTAAAAATCGTTCATTGATGCTGATCGGGCGATCATTGGACAAAGCTGGAAACCCAACATGAAAAACTTGATCTTTTACATTCAAGTATATTAATTTATAATTATTAAATGAATCAATTACAAAATATTTTCGGTCTTCAATATAAGGACTTAATTGTTGAGTTGATTTTGGTTTTAAATATAAGACCTATTTATCATATTTAACAATTTTTTCTAAATCATCCGTATTGATACTTCTTCAACCATGATTAAATAGAGGAGGAAGGGAAGATATTAAGGAAGATGATTATAGTATTTTAGAAAAACATATCATATTCTTATAACTAATTAATTAGATTAGTTATAGTTCTTATATTAAGAATATTAGCAGTGTTATAATAATCAGATAAAAGATTCAACAAAATAAATTTATATTTTTTTGACCAAAGCACAAATCTTTAATTGCTTTTTATATATATCATTAAATTAACGGAACATTTGTACCCACAAAAAAAAAAAAAAAAGCTACGGAACATAGCATCTCCAAAGAATCACAATTCACAAGCATGGACCGTTGATGACCCCTCCGGACTCCTCAGTGAGATACCACCACTAGAGCTGAAGGCTGAAGCCTCTGCTGGTTCTGTGCTAAGAAATTAGAATCCATGGATTCTGCTGATCACAAAACTAGTACGGTGAAGTACGGAATCATAGGCGTTGGAATGATGGGCAGAGAGCATCTCATCAATTTGTACCATCTTCGCACCGAGGGCGTCGTCGTCGTCGCCATAGCCGACCCTCACGTTCCTTCCCAACAGCACGCCCTCGATTTAGCACAGTCCTTTAACTGGCCTCTCAAAGTAAGATTCTGCTCTCTTTCATTTCCCTTTAGCAATATTCTTATCCGTGTTTATGTAGTTGGATTGGGTTTTTGCTGTGATGATTCGTAGTTTAATTACTTCAAATTGCGGTGGCATATAGCATTTGCGAACATTCAGCTAAGATTAGAATTGTATGGAATATGATTAATGAGTGGTGCGTATAAATTGTATACTATCTCCGGTACTTAATATAAAACCTGTTTGATTTTTATTTTGATCCTAAATATAAGATCTCAATCCACTTTATCTCTCATATTTATATATTTTTTTCTAAAATAGCCCTTCTAACAATGATAGTTTTAGTCAATACACTTGATTAGTAATGATATTTTAGGAAAGACAACATCTATTTAGGACAAATAACTAACTCAACTTACTTTCTTAATCTCTTCAAATTAGTCAACTGGCTCTTATAATTAGGACCGGAGGTAGTATTATATTTTGACATCAGTTACAATTATTAGGACATGTGTTTTACTTGAGCAGACAATACTGCGTTGCAAGGTGTATGACCTTGAAAGTTTTGAAGGTTTTCGGAGGGCACCAGGAGCTGTTGGACAGCAGACTTTGTGACGTTTTGGTAATAGCGACTCCAAATATGACCCATCACAGGATCTTAATGGACATCATCAATCACCCCAAAGCATATCACGTTCTGGTAGAAAAGCCTTTGTGCACCATGGTCTCGCACTGCAAAGAGGTTTGTATCCATCAGATGGAAATGTGTCTACTGATCACTTACTGTATTAGTATCACTTTACAATACCTACAAAAGAACGACTTCCTTGAAAACTATTTTGTTGTTAAACCTTCATTTCAGTGCTTTAAATTAACAATGAGATGTTTACTATATTTTGGCATTGCGCCATTGCCTTAAAAAAGTATTTTGCAAAGGCTTATTTAATAGTAGGAACAAAGTTCGATTTGGTTAGAACATGCTATAACAAGATGGCTAATGCTGACTGCCAAAAGAAGGACTGCAGATGCTGGTTTTCTTGTTGTGAATGAATAGCTTATACTGTTGTAGTTGGATGTCTTGCTGGTCATGAATGATATCTTTTGGATTTAAATTAAATTAAATTGAGCAAAAGCTTAAAGTTAAGTTAGGTAACCCCCCCCCCCCCAAAAAAAAGTCTACCTCTTACAAATTGCGCGTATTTCTGCACTTAGTATAGCTAAGAGGTGAATGTTAGCACAAACTTTTCTCGTTCTTCCTCATTAGTCAACAAGCAGGATCTAGAAGCATAACATTAGGTATTGTCTGGTTAGTTAAATTCTAGATTAGGTGGCAGTAATTAGATATTTGACGTGTATTTGATATTCCCCTAATGGCTTGCATTTTGGAATTAGGTTGTTCGTGCTGCTAGAAAGAGACCGGATACCTTAGTACAGGTTGGACTGGAATATAGATACATGCCACCTGTTGCAAAACTGATAGAAATAGTTAAGGGTGGAAATGTTGGAAGGGTCAGAATGGTAGCAATCAGGGAGCACCGGTTTCCTTTCTTGGTTAAGGTCAAAATTTACAAATTAAGTTGATATGTTTGGGTTCTAGAAGAAGCTATGCTGAAACAGTGATCAATGTCCCAGGTAAACAATTGGAATCGGTTCAATATTAACTCAGGGGGGACTTTGGTAGAGAAGTGCTGCCACTTTTTTGATCTGATGAGGCTTTTTGCGGATGCAAATCCTGTTCGTGTGATGGCTTCTGGAGCAATTGATGTTAATCACAAGGATGAAGTGTATGATGGAAAGGTACTTAAGATACAACAATTCTAGTTAGAATAATACCAAATCTTAATCACCAATATTTGTAGCTATTTATACAAGTCCTTTGTTGAGACTGAATATCATTGCTTGAACTGATCAGGCATGGCACAAAATATATATTTGGGTAATGCAGTGATCATGTAGAAGCATAGAAATACAAGAGTATGGTTTCTTGACTTGCTGATTATGACTTTTTGCAATACAAGAGTATGGTTTATTCTGTTCCAATAGGTTAAGAAATAAGGACATTGGTTCAAATCTGTAATATTCAATGGAAGATGTGTATGTTTCTGTCCGAAAGCCGCAATTACCATGAGTTCTCTAATCATAGTTGTTCTATTCTTTCTGGTATTAAAAAATTTGGCTGGGGAAGGTGCCCGATATTATTGACAATGCATACGTTATCGTCGAATTTGACAATGGCTCTCGAGGAATGCTTGATCTATGCATGTTTGCTGAAGGGAGTAAAAACGAGCAAGAGATATCCGTAGTGGGTGACATTGGGAAGGTAAGAATTCATTCTAAATAGTGAACGCCTCTAGAGAACTTCCCAAGTTTTGCACGCAATTGATACTTCATCTCAAAAGACAGGCATTATCACTGATACTTGAATATACCATTTTGGCTTGCTATGTTCAACACAGGGGGAGGCCTTTGTTCCAGAGAATGTTGTTCGGTTTAGCACGCGAGAGGCAGGGCGAGATGGTGTTCAAACATTGAAAGCTGAGGATCACAGGATAAAGTGGGTTATGCATGCATATGCATATAATCACCTCAAAATCAAAATAACAATTGGTTATAATGTTGTGCCTTCAGGTATGATGGGTTGCACCACGGGTCTAGTTATCTGGAACACCTTAACTTCTTGAGTGCAATAAGGACTAAAGGTGAAAAGGCTCCTGCAGTGGATCTGGGAGATGGATTGATGTCTGTCGCCATGGGAGTTGCAGCTCAGCTTTCCATAGAGATTGGCCGATTTGTTACTATCAAGGAAGTTATGGATGTATGAGCTGTAATGTCCAATACTTTTGCCTTTCTGATCCTTACTGTCCTTGTGGTTTGTACTCGAGAAACACACCATTCGATGGAAGAGCTATAGATAATTTGTAAAGTTCACTTGTTAGCATCCTTTATTTTATGTTCTTTATTCTCCGTAAATCGAAATTCATAGAGGAAAAAAATAATGTTTCAGGGTACAATGTATCTTTTGCACAAGTGGAAATTTTGAAGGGGATAAATTTTCCTCGGTTCATCTAAACCATTTGAACTGCTCATAACGAGAATTGTTTTCATATAATTCATGCTCTCTGTTATTTTTTTAAACCACCGATTCTCTAAAGTGGATTGTATTTTAGTATTTCAAATTTCGTGAAAATTTTAATACAAAGAATTTTACCGGAACAAGTAAACATCAAATTTCACTTTATATGAAATATAACGTTTTGTTCAAGAACCCAAAATACACCAGATCTAGAATGATTGAAAAAATTGTCACTACACACTCTTTAATGGATCGTGGTCAAATTCTATTTTGATACATAGGGTCCTCTTAAAGAGGCAAGTACAGAGCATACTCGGAATTTCTAGCGATAGAAGAAAGACATTATAAGTGAGACTTTTAGAAGAAGAGAGAAATTTAGAAAGAATTCATGAGGAAAACACACTAATATTATACGGAGAAGTTTTTATAACTCCTTCTGCTTGTAACTATAGGCAGAGTGGGGTTTATATAAACACTCGAGACCATAATATGACAAATCCTAATAGTAAACATCATTATGACGGGTAGGTGTCATTATGACGATTTGACATAAAAGTAAAGATGTCTTTAATACACAACTACTCTTACAACTACTCTAATAATAACAACCACCTTAATTATTACAAGAAGACAAAATATGCAACAGGACAAACTATTTTAATAAAACAAAAATAGATGGTGACATAAAGTAAACTTCTGACGGGTTCTCCTTATTTTGTTGATGATAGTGTCTACCGTAGGCTTTTACAGATAGGTTCATGGCTAGGGGACAGGTTCATGACACCTTCTGGTTTAGGGTCATCTGTGACAACCGCTCTTTCAAAACCATTTTAGATTAAATCCAACAATTTATTTGAATGATTAACCATGATAGAAAAGAAGAAACCTTAAAATTTTAAAATCGCTATCATGGTTAAAAGAAATAAACTTATAATAAGAGTAACATCGATCGTTACCTTGAGCCTTGGACTTCCAAAGTCCAGAAATATCATTCAACCATTAGCCCAAACCAACTTATATTTTTGATCATACGAACTGATAAATCAGTTTAATATAAACTATAGAGCTTATTAGTCAAAAGTCAACACTTTTAAAGGAGCGTTACATGAAGAGTCTAAAATGTCTCAAGCCTCCTCGCGGCCCTATCATACCAGATAGTAGTAATTAAAAGTATTATTTTACATCATGATAGTAGATGAGCCTTATGTGGCAATATATAACAAGTCAGCACATAGAACAAAAGCAGGGAGGCTATACAAGCTATAACAGCACACTATGCCTCCAGAGCCTTTCTTGATGGGCCACCACCTGAACTATCACCTGAAAATATTAAACCACGGGGTGAGACAAATGTCTCAGTAACCACCTTTCCAACTCATCATATATACTGACACGTGCTCGTGAGGTGTCAAGTGGGATAGTTATTAATTCTCGAGAACTATAGATATATCCATAGAAATATAATTTCAATCATCCAAACCCTCACTATGGGGGTCAACACACAAGCCACATAAGTCTATCCCTCACTCTGGGGGATCAATCAAACATATAGGCCTATTCCTTACTCTGAGGGACGAATAAGAAGCCACAAAGGCCTATCCCTCACTATGGGGGACGAAAGAAAAAGCCAACCAATGTGCACTAATGACGGTCTTACCACGTGGTAGGATAGGACTCAATCCAAAATCCAAATAACAACCAATCATTCACAATATAATAAAAATGTCTCAATCTTTTCTCAGTATAATCCATAAGATATAAATCATATATCTTTTCCAAACTTCTCAATTACAATTCCAAAAATCCCACAAGACAATTTTCATAGCTCAAAAGATATAACATATCTACTCAAGTTCCAAATATCAAATATTATTCTAAAAACAGCAAAATACTCACAAACAACATATTAGCACATATAACAAGTGGAAAGTGGTTACCTCTCGCCAAAGCAATACTAAGGATTACCACAAGGTCAATCCTTTGCTTAACCAATAATTAATCTACACAATTAATATAACCACATATTAATATAAATTAATTAATTAAACTTTTCTATATTATTTAAATTTCTAATTTAATTAAATTTTTACTCTAAATTCCTGCAACTCTCATAACTCAAAAATTATTAAGTATTTTAGAAACAACTTAAAATTTCTAACAACCCCAAATTATTTATTTACCACCTCCAAATTATTTACCTTAATAAAAAGGATTTTCCACAAGTCTAAATATAAAATTATTATTTTCTAAATTCTAAAAACTCTCTTTTTAAGTTTAAATCTCAAAATCAAACTCTCAAAAATTTAATAATAATACTTCAAATATTTATAACTAAATAATCTAATCAAAACTTTAATGGTACAACTATCATATATATATATATATATATATTTCCATAAATAATAAACTTTTTAGCTACAATCATTATTTTAAAATCTTTAGTCACCCAATAAATAAAACTAAACCGATTAAAATCTTAATAATATGCCAAACAACCCAAACAAATTACTTAACTTGAATTTAATTGGTAAAATATAATATAAGTCATATATAACAGATTTTTCAACTAGAAAAACTAATTTGAATACTAAAAACCAACAAATGGACAAATCTAACCGATTAAAATTAACAACTCATTAACTTCTAAATTTTGATAGTCATCTTTTGTAAAAACTCAATACTTAGATCATATATAAGTCTCAAAATTTTCTCTAATCACTATAGTAATAACGTAAATAGGAAGCTTAAAATATACAAAAAATATTTATAAAGAAAGTTTGATAAAAAGAAGTAATTTTATATACCTAAAATATCTTCAAAGCTTGCCATCTCTTTCACCGGTATGCTCCTCCCTCTTACACACACTTCGGCCCTCTCTCTCTCTCCCTCCCTCCTTCTTGCGCCTGCCGGGGGAATGAATTGTGGGGGGGTATTTAACACCCCCACACATTTATTGGGGGGGGGGAGGGATTTCAAACGCAACCCCCAACTTTCCACCCGCCCCCAACTTTTATCGATTTCGATGGAAAGTTGAACTTTTTTTTTAATATTATAATAAAATATTATTATATTATATTATATTATATATATTTTTGATTGATTTTTTTTTTGTCTAAATAAAACTTAGAATATTACATCATCCAAGTCATAGTGTCTCATTGTGCAGTATAATTCCTCATGTTCTTTGAGTTCTGCGATAGGTTTGGGATCTTGATTTGCTCTAGCTATCTGGACTTGGACTTTTAATATATCCATCAAAGTTGGATCTAGTGGCAGAACTCGATGAATTTTATTGTACAAAAGACACTATGACTCAGATGATCCTAACCCAGAAGGGGTCATAAACCTATCTCCTAGCCATGAACGTATCTGCAAAAGTTTATGGTAGACACTATCATCAACAAGATAAGGAGAAACCGCCGGAAGTCTACTTTATGTCACCATCTACTTTTGTTTTATTAAAGTAGTTCGTCCTGTTGTGTATTCATCTTCTTGTAATAATTAAAGTAGTTGTCATTATTAGAATAGTTATAAGAGTAGTTGTGTATAAAAGGCATGTTTATCTTTATGTCAAATCGTTATAATGACACATACAAGTCATAATGACATTTACTATTAGAGTTAATATTAGGATTTGTCATGTTATGGCCCTAAGTCTCTATATAAACCCCACTCTACCTCTAATTACAGGCAGTAAAAACTTTCCTGTATAATACTAGTGTGCTTTTTTCATGAGTTCTCTCTAATTTTCTTTCTTCTTCTAAAAGCCTCACTTATAATATTTTTTTTTTGTCGTCAGAGATTCTGAGTATGCTCTGCATTTGCCTCTTTAAGAGAACTATGTGTATCAAAAATAGAATATGACCATGATCCATTATGGAGTGTTTTGTAACAATCTTTTCAGTTATCCTAGATCTGGTATTCAAAGTTGAGAATCCTACCATGACTCGTTGATGAGGTGAGAATGAGTAGCCTTTCATGAACTGAAACTTTAGATATCAGACTATGTTAACTTATTCCGATTCAGCTAATACACCCAAGTGATATCAGAGTTTTGGCTTTCTGCTTTGCACAGCAAAATTTGCTGAGACCCGAAACTATAGCACAAGACCATCTTGAAGACATGGAGCTCTCTCTCTCTCTCTCACGCACAGAGACAGAGAGAGAGAGAGTTCTCAATTTACAATAATTGTAACTGAGAGGGAAAATTGCAAATATGCAAATATATATAAAATCATACATCGGCATCTTTGCAGTTTTTTCGCCTCACGCGCACACACTAGTTGATCCAAGCTTGGGTTTCGTGTTTTCGAGCAAAATTAGTTCGTATTTATCAAGGCGTAAATCAAATAGGCTATTCCAATACCATTTTGAGGATATATTTTAAATACTACTCTGATACTTAATATAGGACCCATTTAACTAATTTGATTAGATTAAAAAAGTTAGGTAAATTAGTTAATTATAAAAAGTATGACACATTTTTCCTAAAACACCATAATCATCTTTCTTAATACCTTTTCTTCCTCTTGATTATGGTTGAGGAAGTATCTATAGAGGTAATTTAGAAAAAATTGATAAATATGAGAAATATGTATTATATTTAAGACTAAAACCAACTCAATAATTAAGGACCGGAAGAATATATGGTTTTCATATCAACGGGCTAAAACTAGCGTTTTACAATTGCTGCAAATCGCAGGTTCATTAGTGACCGGCATGGCACGGTTTATTTCTCATGAGGAGGGAAAAAAAAATCATTTACATGAATTGCGCATTAGGAGAATTGTTTTTCATTTAATTTACGCTATTAATTTTTTTAATTACCGTTTCTCTGCATTGGACGTTGGCATTTCAAATTTCATGAAATTTTTAATATAACGGATTTTATGTGAACAACCTCAAATTTCAATTTATATGAAATATAACATT